CAATCCGTTTAAACGCCAAGTTGTTGGTTGAGGCGGAGTGGTGCTTGTGTTCCCTTCTCGGGGACTTTTCCTTAGGTAGGATGGGGGCTCCGAGCTTCCACCAGGACACCACAAAGGAGTGCTTGGGGGTCCACCGGTGGTTTTTCTCAGAGGCTTGAGTATTTGGCTTCCCTGTTTGCAACAGGACCGCTTTTTTAATCCATTTCATGTATGGGACTTTGGGCCTGTTCCCACAAGCCTGAAATTATAATTGTTGGCTGGTTTAACATTCGATGCATGTCTCTTTTTTATTTTAGAGTGTCATTGTATCTTTTGGGTAGATTGGGCCCAGTTAGTGATTTGCTGGAATTTAAAATGGGTGATCACTTGTATTCGCTTTAAGTTATCTCTTATGCTTTCACAAAGGGCTGAAGTAGTTTGCAGTTTTTCCAACCAGCAGTAGTAGGAGTGTTCCTTCTGCTTCTCGCATGTCCACGCCGTTGTTTGGTTGTTGGGGGTGACTATTTGGATTTAGAAGGCCATTTCTCCACTGGATGTTAAAAGTGATTTTCTCCATTGTGGTTTTGATTTTGCATTTCCTTGATGATTAAGTGGGTTGATGCTTTTTTTTCATATGTTTTTGGCCATATTTCTGTTTTTGTTGAAGGAAGTTTTTGTCTGTTTCCTTTGCCACTTGATAGGTGTTTTTTGATTTTCTTGCTGTTTTCCTGAGTTTTCTTAATAGATTTCTAGTTAATCAGCCCTATATCCGGTGTTGTGGCTTGTGGGAAAAATTTTTTCTTTTCATTTCTGTTGGGTGTCTGTTTGCTCTCTTGACAGTTTCCTTTTTGGGCTGTGCAAGAAACTTTTTATATTTGTTTTTACGGACCCAATTTAATTTGGAAATAAGAAAAATCGCTTCGGATTGCTTTGTCTAACCATCATTTCCATAAGTCAAAATTTTAAATTTATCAGAATAAACAGGCCAAGCACTTAGCAAAAAAAAAAAAAGCAAGAAATTGCAAAAATGGATTGGGTTAACATAACAATTTAACGATGTTTCAATACCAAATTTCGACGTTGCTAAAAAAATACAAATTATTTCTGCACCAACCTATGCCTCTGCAGCATTTAGAGGCATTGTCCTAAAAGTACCATCACGCTCTTGACTAGTCCAAAATAATAGTTGCTAGAAGAGTAACTAAACCAACTGCACACTCTGGTGCTTCAAGGCACCTTCCTGGCTCAGTTCAATGGAAGGCATTTTAATTTTGCACTAGAGACTCAAAACGATGTAGGCAAGAATCTTGTCCTGAAAATAGCAGAGTAACACATAAAGCAAACTACATTTTTCTTCAGAACACCAAACCACACACCTGTCTCCAGAAAAGGAAGGACAGTAATAACACTGAAAAGTAGATATTTTCCCCCATTATAACCAGTCGATGCAAGTTTTTGAGATCGAACATCAACCGAGAACAGGTAATTAATCTTCTCACTGGCAACCATCGGTGAAAGTAGTAGCAAATTTAATTCTGATTTTTCACCTCTGTTAAGAATAAATTGTGAGGCCGGCACGGTGGGCTCACGGACGGCCTTCATCCTAAGCACTCTTGGGATGGCCGAGGCGGAGATCGCTCAAGGTCAGGAGTTTCAGATTGGCTGAGCGAAGGGAGGGCGAGACCCCGTTCGTCTCTATAAAAAATATATAGAAAGACAATTAATTGGCCCAACTAAAAATATTAGCAAAAATGAGCCGGCATTGTGGCGCATGCCTGTATTCCCAGTTCTCGGGAAGCTGGGCAGGAGGATCGCTTGGGAGCCCAGAGTCTGAGGTTGCTATGAGCGAGGCTGACGCCACGGCACTCAACCTCAGCCTGGGATACGCGAGACTCTGTCTCAAAAAAATAAATAAATTAAAAGAAGTACATGAATACACCAACTGCATTAACTCCCTTAGGAGGCAGAAAAAAAATAAATAGGATAAAGGTATAATAAGTAATTAAAAGAACAGAAAGTAACGCATGGTTGTCAGGTGCCATGCGGAATGTCTCTTACAACACGGAAGCACCCCCCGTAGTGGTGACTGTCGCCCACTTACCTTGGCTTGTCCCGTCCCGTCCCGCGGACTTCCCGAGCTTGCCCTCACTTTTTCTGTGCTTGGGGGACGCAGGAAGTCCTTGTGGCGCTCCTTTGCTGCGCTGGCACTTTGGGGGTCCTGGCCGCAGGCGTCGGCCCCGCCTGGACCGTTGTGTGCAGCTTCGGGTTCTGGACGGCGGCTGGAGGCGAGAGGAGGAGGAGGAGACGGCTGGGGGAGGAAGCATTTCCTTCCTTGAGGGCTCTGCGCAGGGCCGGGGCATCCTGGAGGGAAGCACCATGAGAGACTCAGTGTGGGCAGAGCACGAGTGACACACGGCTTTAGCTGTTCGGTGACAAAGGACAAACTCACCGGCCACCGGCACAAAAGACTGTGCACGAAATGACGCCTGCAGGGAGGCTGAATTTCAGGGACTTTTTGATGCCTTTGAGCAATCTAGCCCTGTGCGTTTGCAACAAACGAAGTCCCATGATGTTTCACTAAGCTTGCGGAGTCTGCCACCGGTCCCCAACGCCCCTAAGCCTGTCCCCCGCCCAGCTGCACGCTCCACTCCGGCCCCCTCTGTCACTTCCCTGTTGGCTCCCCGCGGGGACACACACGATGCACTTGCTTTTGTCACGTCCTTTTGTGAAGCACTTTCTCAAAAACACATCAGAGACGACATGATAATTGCTTTTTAGATTCACACTGTCCTGCTACTTTCGCCTGTCACCTGTCACCCCTGTCCCCAACAAGGGTCCTGCAGAGGTTCTCGTTCGTCTCTAGAAAAAGAACGTGGCACCCAGGATCCTGGCGTCCCAATGCTGGCTCTAGCACCCGGCAAGGACTCTTGGGCTTTAAGCCAAATAATTTTATCTCTGTGTCTCTGTTTCCAATTGTGCAAAGTCAGGATTAA